GGCGGGCGGGGCCGGGGCACGCCGGGACGGGCGGCTCCTTGCGCTCCGGGAGCCGCCATCCCCCCCAGAGCCGCCGGGAACACACTGCTGTTCCTTTGTCTGCTCACAGGGACAGCGAAGCGAGCTGCCGTGTCCCTCTAGAACGTCCGCGGGTGCCGCAAGGGGTGTCACGGCCAAGATGCTGATGGGGACCGAAACGCCTTGGGAGTTTATTCTGCGCTTGCGCCTGCTACGAAATGTCCCGGCACAAGTGCCCTGCTGGGTTCAGGGCCCGCTGCAGCAGGAGAGGCAGCGACAGCGGGGAGCTCCTCCTGTTCCGTGTCCCCAGGTTTATTGCTGTGCCCCGGGGTGCCGGGCAGACCCGGCCGGGGCACGCACCCGCACCGCTGCTCTCCCAGGCTGTGCGGGAACTCGGCTGCTGCACCGCAGCCAGCCCGCATAGCTGGGGCTGCAGCTGCCTCTGTCCGGCACAGAGCAGCACTGTGCCAGCTTGGTACACCACACAGCCCCTAGCTCCCTCCACGCTGAGGCCCACCCTTACCGCAGGCACTGATTTCCAGACCTCATCACCCGTTCTCTGACTGTGATCCCCCACCAGCACACCGTGCATTGAGGCCATCCAGGCTGGGCCCACAAACTGCTCCCGTTGAGCTGCCCCTGTCTCTGTCCTAGTTTAGGGCAAATTAGGGAGGAAAACTCCAAATGGGAATTTCTCCAGGGAAATGCCCCTCCCCACCAACTGGTCCGGGAAAAGGAAAAAAAAAAAAAATTTCTTGGAGACAAGTGGAAAAAGTTGTTTATTTAACAGAAATTGAATAATCTTAAATAATAAAACCTCTTGCTGTTCGATGGGATGGCAAGTCTAGGAAGAAAAGTCCTTTTCATGTGGTGTAGCTCGGCTCGCTCAGGTTCTTATCAGTCCTTTCGGCGCTGGAAAGTTCCGAGGCCCAGGCCCCGGTGGGCCACAGGCGTGAGCTCCCGGGGTTTGGCTGGGTGTTCAGTCCAGAGCAGGCTTGCACAGATCCAAAAAAAACCCAAAGGTCCAGGGAACTCTTCTGTTTCAGCTAGCTAAAACAAACTAAAAGCCAGAGAGAAGCTCTGTCCCGCTGTCTGTCCGTGCTGCAGACACCACAGTCCAGGAGCGGGGTGTGTGGGAGTGATGTTTTTCCTTAACACAAACTGCGTGCTTCTTCTTCCCCCTCTCTTGCTCTCAAAGCCAGTCTTAAAGGTGCAGAAATTAATATATAACATAAACCAGACGATTGGGGATACCAGTATCATAAAGTCACCCCAGGACAGCCTCCCATTTACTCTCTTTGCACACACCCCTCTGCTAACCCCTCTCCCCAGCATGCAGGCTGCAGCCTCCTCCCACAGCAGTGCCAGGGGACTGTGGTCATCGCACAGGGTTTGCATCCAGACAGGGTGTCAGGGAGCAGGGGAGCAGGCAAGGACTTCGTAGTGCAGGACAGACTAGGTTGCATGATTAGGTTTGTGGTACAGGACGCAGCTGGACTTTGGGCACAGCTGAAATTGAGGGTCAGGTGGGGGTGCTGGTTGGATGAGGATGAGCTGTACATTTATGCTGTTGTGCACAGCTGTGGGGGTCACAGAGAGATGGGGAAAGAAAGCTCACACCTAGGGACCTGCACACACAGTGCCACCTCATCCCTCCCACCCTGCATCCACCTTTGGGTGTTGCACCTTGGGACCAGGTGAAGGGAGATGTTCTTCTCCAGGGTAATCCACTATTGGCTAGTGCAGTCACAAGAGCACTGCCTAGGGGGTGTTTATATGGTGAGCACTACTGGGACTATCCATCTGTAGGTGAAAGGGTGTTCATTGTTTGGGAAACTGAGCCGAGTTGCACCCTCAGCCTGGAGCATCCTGGAGTGCCAGAGCATTGGTATACACCTGGTGCCATGGGCAGCGAGGGGCCATAGGCACAACTGGGGCACAGCAGGGAGGAGGTGGAGAGCCCATTCTTCCTGAGCACACTGCCAGCAGGTGAGCATAACCAAAGTGACAGTCCTTTGGGGCTGGTCAAAGCACTGAACTCTCCCCTAGTCATCTCCACAGGGTGATGGTGGAGATATCCACATCTTCAGCTGCAATGGCACCATGGTGGCTCTGCTGTCCTGTCACAGTCCTCAAGGCAACAGGGGATCCCCTAGGTAAATCCCATCTAGAAAGAAAACCCCCTGGAAAAGGCAAAGTTGGTTGAAGATTTTTATATCTCGCTCTCAAGCAGCAAAGTTAGATTTGTGTTAGGAGAGTGGAAGCTCAGGTTCCTCCAGTCCTCAAGGGCTTCAGAAATGAGGAACGAAGTGGTTCACAAGCTGCCTTGCGGGCACAGCCCTGTTTTTGCATGAGGCATCCCCAAGATGACAGGTCAGGCCACAGTGTGCCATGTAGACATGTCTGTCTGGCTTGGCCTTATTGCTGGCTGCAGCTCCCCAGAGCTGGGTTTGGGGAGCAGGTGTGTCCCTTCCCCTGGGTCAGCAGTCCCCTCCTCAATGGCACAGCTGCCCTCCTCCTCTTCCTCACTCCTCGGGCAGAGGAAGCAGCATGGAAAGGCTTTGCAGGAAGATGGCAGCAGCCTCCTCAGCCTAGTGGGGAGCATATATGCTTCCCCTTTCTCTCCACGGAGGTGACAGTCACCAGCTCTGGCTTTCCATGGCTGCTCAGAAAGCAGCCCTCGTTCCTCCAGTGTTCCTGCAAGCAGGGAGGTAAGCAGTGAAATGGGTGCCCCTTCCTCCTAGCCCACACCAGCCCCAGCCCCCTTAGCAGGACTGCCTTGAGGCAGAGCTGGTGGCTTGCCCCATGGACAGATCCAGTCCTCAGAGCAGGACATATGCAGAGCACCTAGAGCAGCCTCTTACCTGAGACCGTGTTCTCCAGAAAAAATGACAAGAAGCCAGTTAAGAAGACAGGGACCATAAGCAGAGAGAGGAAGAGGAGGTCCAGTGGCACCCAGCCTGCAGGGACAGCCAGAATCAGCCAGGAGGTCCCAGCCCAGCCAGGGGAAAGGGGCATGAGCAACCATGGCAGAACTGGGGATTGAAGAGGTAACTGCCTGCTACCATAAGCCAACCCAGCCTCCCAGAACACTGGAGATGTGTGGTCACCATGCCATGGGACTCAAGGCTTTGCCTTGCCTGGGGAACATCCCTCATACCTGTGGCCAGGGGAGCCAGAGCCATGCCGAACCACCGCGGTACCAACAGTGCCATGAACATGGCAAAGCCAACAATGAAGATGTTCCTCCCTGAGTCAATGTCTGTGTACTGGAAGTAGGAGATCCCCGTGCCCACAGCCACGGCGTAGGTTACACAAAGCACCCCTCCTGCGAGGGGCAGGAGTCAGGCAGTGCCAGGCAGGCTGCAGGTGTGGCAACAAGGGGCAGGGCAGGGTACCCACCGTGAACTGCCAGTGGGATTTGGGTGAGGAGCCCTGCCAGCCTCGGGGACATGCCCAGCACCATGCACACCAGGGCACTTACTTGCACTGAGAGGCGAGAGCCAGCCTGGCAGAAAGAAGAGTGGGAAAATGAGGATACGTAGCATTACCCCCTCCTCTCCTGCCCCATTCTGCTACACACACCTGCCTTTCCCAGCAGTGGGTCTGTGACATCCTGGCAATTGCAAGTCACACACACCTGCTTGACTGCCTCCCCGTCCCCTGCCAACCGTTCCCCCCCACTTTGGCATACCTGTGTGAGGCCAGTGGCACAGGTGTTTGCAATGCTGGAGGCCGTGCCCCCAGGGCTGCCCAGCAGTCCTGCCAGGAGGCTGCCCAACCCTTCCATGCAAAGCCCCCGGTTACAGGCGTGAGGGGGTAGCCGAGGGGCTTGCAGCAGCCTCCCACACAGCACGTAGCAGCCCACAGAGTTCATGCTGCTGCCGATGGCCATGGCAATGCCCACTGCCAGCGCCCGGGGGGTGAGCAGCGGCCACCTCCACTCTCCTGCAGAGGAGGGAAAAGGGACAGGTGATAGAAATCCTGTCCAAAAGTGGATGGCTGCACTCAGCCCTGCTGCCCCCCACCTGCATAGGGGATGCGGATCCAAGGGGCACTGAAGGTGCTGTTGGCCCAGGACAGCCGTGCCATGGTCACATCCAGTGATTCCCAAGGAATGTGGAAGTAGCTGAGGATGGCACAGACAATGCAGACACCAGCAAATGGGAGCAGTACCTGCAAGGCAAAAGAGGACGCTCAGCAGGGGACCCTCCTCCCCTGCCTGCTCTGGCCAGCACCCCATAGTTGTCCTGTCACATCTCCCAAAGAGTCATGCCACATTTCCCCTTACACCTGCAGGAAGCATCCCAAGATGCTCTGCTCCAACACTGAAGGACACCAGTGCTTCTCCAGAAGCATCCATGTTCTGGGAGCTGTACCAGAGCTTTTCTTCCCTGCCTGTGGTCCAGGTCTCACCCAACCCTACAGCAAAGAGCCAGGCTCGGAGAGAGAACCCTGGTGACAGTGAAGAGAGCAGACAAACCACAGTACCGAGAATGTGCGCAGGGTAGGAACTGAATACTCTGTGGAGCCCTCCCAAGCATGGGGCCAGGCACAGAAGGGCAGGCGGCAGGAACGCAGATGTTGGGAGAAGGTGACGGCAAGGAACATGAGCCTAGGAGAGTGAGCACAGGTCACCACACAGCATCACAGTCAGTGATGGGGCCCCAAATGAGCACTATGCACTGCTGTCCCACTGATGAAAGAAAGCCCCAGGAGCCACCCACCAGTACAGTCCCTGGGCTCACATACAGCAGTGCTACACCCCAGTTAGTGGAGCAGAAG